GGGAGAGCAATTAGAGTCACATAACAATGTATGTATAAATTTTTGCTTAGGAAAAATTAAAAAAAAAAAGAATTATCTTAGGTGAAGGAAAGGACGACACACACTACATGGGAAGTCAGCACAACTGGACTAAACCAAAAGCTAAGAAGTTTCCTGAATACAACAAAACACTTTGAGGGACAGAGTAGCAGGGGCGGCAGTCTGGGCACCATGGTTTCAGGAGACATCTAGGACAATTGGCATAACAAATTTCATTAAGTAAATGTTCTGCATCCCACTTTGGTGAGTGGTGTCTGGGGTTCTAAAAGCTAGCAAGTGGCCATGTAAGATGCATCAATTGGTCCCAACCCACCTGGAGCAAAGGAGAATGAACAACACTAAAGCCACAAGGAAAATATTAGCCCAAGAGACAGAAGGGGCCACATAAACCAGAGACTTCATCAGCCTGAGACTAGAAGAACTAGATGGCGCCCAGTTACCACCAACGACCACCCTGACAGAGAACACAACAGAGTCCCTGACGGAGCAGGAGAAAAGTAGGGGGCAAAACTCAAATTCTAGTATGAAGACCAGACTTAATCGTTTGACTGAGACTGGAGGGACCCCAGAAGACATGGCCCCTGGACTCTCTGTCAGCCCAGAACTAAAACCATTCCAGAGGCCAACTCTTCAGACCAAGATTAGACTGGACTATGAGACATAAAATGATACTCATGAAGAGTGTGTTTCTTAGCTCAAGTAGATACATGATACTAAATGGGCAGCTCCTGACCAGAGGCAAGATGAGAAGGCAGAGAGGGTCAGGAGCTGTCTGAATGGACACAGGGAATCAGGGGTGGAAAGGAGGAGTGTGCTGTCACAGTATAGGGAGAGCAACTAGGTTCACATAACAATGTGTGTATAAATTTTTGTATGAGAAACTAACTTGAATTGTAAACTTTCACTTAAAGAATAATAATAAAAAAAAGAAAGTAGCACCGGGAGCAGGACATGTCTTTTGGACATAGAGTTCCTGAACTGAAAAGCTCCTATACCAGGGAAAAACTGATGAGAAGGACCTTTCCTCAGAGTCTACAGAGAGAGGAAGCATTCCCTGGAGATGTTAACCTGAATTTGGGCTTCTAGCCTCCTAGACTATGAGAGAATAAATTTCTCTTTATTAAAGCCTATAT